TTAACATCTCTTGCACTTGTCGCTCCACTTCGCCTTCCAGATGACATGGAATTCTTCGCGTTAAAAATGACCTTACTTTCGGATCACTTAACGGAATTTCATGATTCACCTTATCGCAATAACCGTATGAATCCCCATCTCCAGTGAACAGATGATCGTATTTATTAATTAACTCTGTCATATTCTGTACTGCCGACAGCCTAACCGCTGCTATCTCGCTGGTCTCATACATGTTGATACGCCCGTATTTCGTGACCACAACTTTCGCTTGCGTGTCAAATATTGCACTAATCTCCTGCAGAAAATCCTCTCCTAATATCGTTCTCTGTAGTTCGGGTACAACAATGACAGGCAAACGTCACCTCGCAGCCGCCAACATTGACCGTACAGTTCGATCTACCCGTTATACGCAACACATGCCCGCCTACTGTTTGTACTGTCAATGAACACGGACTAACACTCTTACATAAATTCTTATCTATTAACGACACGGCCGCCCCTGTATCTATCAAACATACTACTTCTCGATCATTCACTCGCAACTTCGAATACAGAGCTCCTTTCTCAATAGCCCCCACTAAGTCTAGTTTCATACGAGAGACAGAACCAGTATTATACCGTCTGAAACTTTTTCTTTTTCGCCTTTCTGGGCAGTATCTTCTCCAGTGTACCGGCTTCCCGCATCCAAAACATCGGTCTTTTCTATCAGCCAACTTTAACGCCGCCACTTCCCTCTGCAATGCTTCAATTTTTTGCTCATATTCGCTTGGTTTCGGTTGGTCTATAGCGGCTACCGTTGTGCCCAGCAGGTGTCTGGTCACCTTCGCCAGCTCACTAATATCCATCGGCTGCGTTGAGTTAACCAGTTTTAATCGCTGAGAAATGTAGTCTGGGACACTCTCGATGAATTGGGAAGACAGTAACTGCGCTTCTGATTCTTCATCCAAAGTGGGAAGCGCGCGTCGAAGTAGATTCGTCAGTTTCACCGCCAACACTAGCGGTCTCCATCAGGTCCCAGCTTCGTTGACCGGAACTGCTCCATCGCCAGCTGTCTGTCTGTTGCGCTGTCAAACTCGGACACTAGTCGTTCAACCAATTTCTTCCAAGACACTATGCCATTTGACCTGTCTACGCTGTCATATGCCGCCTTCGCTCGGCCTCTCAACAGCGTCCCCAAGACAACTGCCTTCGCCGCCTGCTCCTTGACACCCACCAGCTCAGCAACAGCCTCGAAGTCACGTAAGAAGCTCCGTATGTCTCCTTCTTCAAACGCAGCTGGCCACGGGATCTTCATTTTCTGGAGGCAGTGATACCAAATGTAACAACAGAAGACAAGGGCGAAGCATCAGATCGTTTTATTATGAAAATCAACACGTATTTATATATAAATAAATAAATAAATTTATTCTCATGATACAGTACATGAGGGACGCCAGTTTACAGGCATCATCAAATTGTTACAGAAATAGGATCATATTATTCAGTCACAATTTACAGTCGATAGCAAAATATGTTTAACATGTACACTGGAGATAATACGTACACTTGATAAATGTTAATCCGAATAGTATAAAACATCCTTTTCACTTATGTACAATCATTTCTGTGCATAGTTGGAAAAATCCGCTAGATTTTCAGTGAGTGCAACACATCAGGAAATACAGAAGTATTGTCTTCGCATTAACAAAAAAACCAGGTCTTTGGTGGATGGGTTATAAGTGCCTGGGAAAAAAATAAAGCTTGAAGTCAGTTTTCATACATAATTTTCTTGTGTACAGAATCCTTGATTTATAGTTCATTGATGTGTTATTTTGAAATCAGAGAAATGTTTATTTCATTGAAATAAGTAAATAGATGGATTGATTCTCATGGTACAGTACATGAGGGACGCCAGTTTACAGGCATCATCAAATTGTTACAGAAATAGGATCATATTATTCAGTCACAATTTACAGTCGATAGCAAAATATGTTTAACATGTACACTGGAGATAATACGTACACTTGATAAATGTTAATCCGAATAGTATAAAACATCCTTTTCACATACATTATTATAGCTTATGCAAGTAGAAAAGCGCAGTCATCTGATTGGTTGCAGACAAACGCATGCTTCTGATTGGTTGTTTCGGGATTCCTTGACGAATAGAGGTCTATATCTGCGACCCATATTTTGCCACGTTAACCTTTCTGTGATTGGTTGTTCATATTTTCTCACGGCCCATATTAGTGACCTAGACATTAGCGTAGATTAGTGTCAACCAATCGGCTAGCAGCCTGCTATCACCACACACAAGTCTCAGTATTTTGATTACCACTATTTGGAAAAATAGCCCAGCTTGGCTCTCTGGAACATGTTTAGAAAACGAGCATGCTGATCCTCGTGCAACTGAACCCTTAGAAATATTTTTTGACGTAATTTTTATGCCCTCCAAAAGTGATTCAATATAATTCAATTAATATTTATAGTGAATCAAGAAAATATTACTCAACCCGATTACATTTGAAATTCTGTTGTTGAGCCTAAGCATCACATGATAGGTGGAAGTTCACCTGCTCCATTCTGTAGTACCCCTGGCCCTACGGACAGTTTCGCAACAATTTCGCTCAAAGTCGATGGTGCAGAAGCACCAAAAACAGCATCGGGGGATGTCCTGCTAAACGGCCTTCAAGTAAGTTGTTTGTATTCCTTTTTGTTTTGTGTTTGAACGGTCAATCGTCATTTTTAGAAAGCTAGGGAGATGGAATATGAGGTACGAACATGTCTGCTACCAAGCAATATATTTTCGGTAGCCATAATAATCAGTCTCAGAGCATAACATCATAAAAGGAGGGAGGGTGGCGATAGCTGATCAGTAGATATGGTGGTGGTCACTAAGGTGAATCGCCCCATTCTGCAGGAACAGCAATATACAATTTGAAGGCTCGAGATATTTCTGATTTTTATGAGGGCTTAGATCTTTATCTTGAAAAAGATAATAATGAACGCCTTGACAGATCATGCTTCTACCTTTAAACATATACCATTCACCCAGCCTATTGTTGAGATGCGACCAAGTGGGACCTGCACAGATTTATGAGGCATCTTATAAACTAACTTGCTGTCCATTGTCGGATCTTTAAATACCACTTCACAATGTCTTATCTCATTTATTTTCTAATAACGTCTTTACTTGATCCTCATTTTACTCCATTAAAACTAACATTTTACAGCTCTTTATGACTTATTATATTCCTACTCTCTGAAGGGTACGGTTGTACATTAAATGCACAAAAAGGTATAAAACAAAACAACTGGCACAACTGAGGATAAATGTATTAAAACCAAAAGTGGACATCATGATAGTACGAGATATACGTGTAGCATTATACATTGCAAATGAACGTTGTCAGCCTAGAGAATTTCCTTTATTAATTCATTTATTAGTGATACTTGCACTTACCCACTTCATTACACTTTATTGATTCACCTTAGCACTTTTACTTTTCTAAAAACAGCTTTCAATCCCTTGTAAACGTTGTACTTACCTCAATATTGGTTGGTTATCGTATGCCGACAACCACGGGATGAAAACGAAACGAAGTCGATTTTCCCGCGAAACCTGGAGGACAATTGTACAATTCAACAACTATACAGCCTAGTTCAGACAATGAGTGTATTATATGTATCAAATATTTAACAGTTGAAATATGATTAACTTGTAGACAATCTGAGATTTGAAACTATATCTTACTTGATCGTGCCTGTACAAAAGGGCATGCATTTTCATGTAAATTTAAATTTGTATGAAATACATTACATTATAAATCATAATATTTCTTGACCTGAAGGCGGAATTCGATTCTGTCGACCGAGAGGTATTCTGGCGATGCTTGGCTGTGAAGGGGATTCCGAGAAAATACATTGCACTGATCAAGGCACTCACTCTACTTGAACTCATGTAGCCAGATGAAAGCTTACGGCGAGTTGTCAACTGAAGTGGTGACGACTAGCGGTGTCCGTCAGGGATGCCCATTATTCCCATTTTTATTCGATTTCATCCACTGAATAGGTTTGCGTAAAGCTACGTTCAGATAGACGTATTTCCTACCAAAACTTGCAGTTGGTTTTCCATTTTTAGCCTGTAAGTTGAAGGAAGATTCCTTCTGTCCATGTGCTGCTGTAGCAGGAAGGACGCTGACTTTGGCGCCTGGCCATAGGGATTGTGAGACCAGCACCAGTCAGGGTTTTTCAGGCAACTTGGCCTGGACTTATATCGACCACGTGAGTTTCGGCGTTGAGGAGAGTTCTGACGACGGTAGGAGGAATTGGAGGGCATATTAGACCTAAGCATCTGCCGGATGGAGTTGCATAACTCTATCACTCCAGTATCCTTACTCGAAGTCTCATTGGCCAAACTCAATACAATCAAACATAAAATGACGATTGACCGTTCAAACACAAAACAAAAAGGAATACAAACAACTTACTTGAAGGCCGTTTAGCAGGACATCCCCCGATGCTGTTTTTCGTGCTACTGCGCCATCGACTTTGAGCGAAATTGTTGCGAAACTGTCCGTAGGGCCAGGGGTACTACAGAATGGAGCAGGTGAACTTCCACCTATCATGTGATGCTTAGGCTCAACAACAGAATTTCAAATGTAATCGGGTTGAGTAATATTTTCTTGATTCACTATAAATATTAATTGAATTATATTGAATCACTTTTGGAGGGCATAAAAATTACGTCAAAAAATATTTCTAAGGGTTCAGTTGCACGAGGATCAGCATGCTCGTTTTCTAAACATGTTCCAGAGAGCCAAGCTGGGCTATTTTTCCAAATAGTGGTAATCAAAATACTGAGACTTGAGTACTATTAGAATATATCAGTGAACCACACTTCACCTTACGGTTGTGAGTCATGGGAACACAAGAATACAGGGAGCGAGTTGTAGAATGCTTGCAGTAGCCTTCTTAGACTTAATAATAATAATAATATTATATTCTCATTTTGTACATGAGAGACGCCAGTTTACAGGCATCATCAATATGATAAATTACATATACGATTAGCAATCGTAATTAATAATAATGTTTTAATAAAGTACACATTTTTTCCTACTTGTGTAGGACACACCAAATATACAGGCATGGATAAGCATTAATTAAATTTCATAAATTCGGTTTATGGTTAAGTTACATGGTTGCTGGCGTTTTTGTTTTAATAATAATTATAATAATGTATATTCTCATATAAACATATAAATTTACATGAAAATGCATGCCATTTTTTTAGGTCTGTGGGAACAATATGATAACCAGTCATTCAATGGAGCACATCATGAAATATAGGAATATTGACTTCGCATTAACAAAAAAACCCAAGTAAGTTTTGGATGGATTAAAAATACTTGGGAAAAAATAAAGCTTGAAGTTATTCCACAATATAACAAGTCATTCAATGGAGCACATCATGAAATATAGGAATATTGTCTTCGCATTAACAAAAAAACCCAAGTAAGTTTTGGATGGATTAAAAATACTTGGGAAAAAATAAAGCTTGAAGTAATTCCTCAATATAACTTGGGTGTGTACAAATCCGAATCTCATTTTTGATTTGATTTATATCCAAATTGGGTAATAAGGAAGCTATTTTTACAGATACGATCAGTTATGTTATAAGCTACAATCGTGAAGTTGTATTACAAATTGATACTTTTCCATTGGTATAAGAGTATATTCCACAAATGTAATCCACAAATGTAATCCAGGTTGCGTCGTGGAGAAAGTTAATTCGTTATTAACCAGGCAACTGAAAGATACGGGACCAATAATGTTTGCAGATCATTTGTCATTGTAAATGGTCAAATATCCACATTATTCATTCTCATTCAAAAAGTCAAATGGAAGCTGAAATGGTGAGAGAAAAAAGAAGACAAACAACAGCAACGCAAAAGAAAGCAACGGGAGTCCTTAAGGAGTGATTAATAAATATATACATATATATTCTGTTTAGTAACTGTGGTTATTTTGGTACACAAACTAACTAGTCCCGTTATGCTAACTTTTATATTATGTGTGAACTAATATTACTGTCCTGTGTAGAAATGTTAATCATCTAGTTCCAATAATATTAAAATTTATAATTGTAGTTTGTTGTAACTACACGTTTAAAGAACTTAAAATATCTATGTAGGGTGAAAAAGAAGGTGTAAGAGTCAGACGTAGAAGTGCATTGTCATCTTTGAGCAGTCTGGTGACTGAGGAGATGAACACTGGAAGTGTGTTTGCATCGCGCACATTAGCTGGTAGTCTATTCCAAATGACTGAAAACTTATTTAAGAAGAAGTTGTACCGCACGTAAGTCTGACAGTGCTCCATAGCAGCTAGGTTGTGATGATTTCTAAGATTGTAACTGATGACAGCGGTAGGTTTAGTTACTGGCTCGGAGGAATGCAAGAGAAGATTAGTTAGCTTGTAGTAAAAGATAAGGTTTAGCTTAAGGCGTCTTTTCCAGAGGGGTTCTAATCTTAGTCTTACGCATCGCTCATGGTATTCCAGACCACTTTCTAAACCAAGAGTTCTTGAGGTAAACTGCCGTTGCACTCCCTCTAATTTAAGCTTGTCATTTTGTCTTAGTCCGCTAAGAATAAACGTGCAGTATTCTAAGATAGGTCGGACACATACTTTGTATAATAAAACCCTAGTTTCACAACAAAAGAAATTGCGTGTTATGCATCCTATCAGCCTTCGCGTTTTACGTCTGGCATAATCAGTCTGTTCAGCGAACGTTAGGTTACTAGAGTATCTAATACCGAGATCTACGACTGAATTGAGCTTAGCTAGTTTTCGCCCATTTATTTCAAGGTTTAGATCAAGCTTACTGTTGCCGATACAAATCCAGCCGCATTTGTCAATGTTAAAATTTAGACAGGATTCAGCACACCACGTTGCAAGGCTACTTAGTTCAAGATGTATTTTAGTAACCATATCGCTTAATTCATGAGTGTAGCAGGAGTAGACGACTTTGAGGTCGTCAGCATATAGGAATGGTTTACCTGAGGTGAAGCACTTGCAAATGCTGTTAATGTAAACTGTGAATAAAAGTGGACCTAGGACACTACCTTGCACGACCCCACTTGAGATCTGCCTAGGATGAGACAATACAGATCCAACTTTGGTTATTTGTACCCTGTTGCTTAGAAATGATTTTAACCAGTTCAGTAATGGGTTGCGAATTCCACAAGAGTACAGCTTCTCAAAGAGAATACTGTGAGATACCATGTCAAATGCCCTAGATATATCGAAGTATAGAACAACGACTAGCTTACGTGCTTCGCGATTACTAGTGATGCAGTTGAAAAAGTCGAAGTGGCAAGTAACGCAGGATCTATTTTTGAGAAATCCGTGTTGAGATGTGATGCTTAGGCTCAACAACAGAATTTCAAATGTAATCGGGTTGAGTAATATTTTCTTGATTCACTATAAATATTAATTGAATTATATTGAATCACTTTTGGAGGGCATAAAAATTACGTCAAAAAATATTTCTAAGGGTTCAGTTGCACGAGGATCAGCATGCTCGTTTTCTAAACATGTTCCAGAGAGCCAAGCTGGGCTATTTTTCCAAATAGTGGTAATCAAAATACTGAGACTTGAGTACTATTAGAATATATCAGTGAACCACACTTCACCTTACGGTTGTGAGTCATGGGAACACAAGAATACAGGGAGCGAGTTGTAGAATGCTTGCAGTAGCCTTCTTAGACTTGTCAAACATACTTCACTGACAAAACTAATACATTTCACTAGGTAGCAACTAATGTCATGCGTGTAGTCAATACTTTGGTGCGGGCCGAGTTCTTTTAGTGAAGATACTAATGTAGCCATCGTGGTGCACTCTGAACTTTTATAAGATGGTTAGTAACACCACCGAATGAACCACTGGGTGACCCGCGTCAGAATTTCGGGAGCGACAGTCCCCTTGAGACTGTAGATACGCCTTGTTGAAGAGTGCAACTAAGCACGAAGCCCAGTTTCAAGGCTTCCTGACGACTACCTCTAACCATCTACTACATGTTCCACCTTAAACTGGCCGTAGGTGTTGGTCATAATCTTACGACACAGGTAGGTCATGAATCGCCATACGTTGAAACTACTTAAGGGACAGCTTCATACTATTTCAATTTAATAAGCATGTGAACTCTACGTCGTGAAACTCCATGTAGATTTGTTGGCTTATCACGAAACTCAAGATGTACTTTCGAGATGCGATGTCATTTAAATAGGCATTCTACTCACAGCATTTAATGAGATGATAAAACGAATAACTTCAATAGATTTCTCCTTTGATTATATTTGGTTTTCACCTCCTGAGACTGGTGTATGGAGGTTGTACCCTCAAAAGACTCGTCCACCAGTTCCATTCAGACAATTCACGGAAAAAGATTTTAAATGCCTTTGTCCCGTTAGTAATAAATAGTATCGTCTCAGCTGTTTGGTTTAGTTGCGGAGCTTTCGTCGTCATTCTGGACGACATCTTCGGCGCAGTATTTAGCATAAAGTCAAATGGTTTAAAATCTCCATGAATGATGATACAATCGCGTCTCCTGGTGACCAACCATCTTTACATATGTATTGACCTGTAATTAAACCGAAAATCTGGGTACGTTACGTTGATGATACACTTGTGATGATTAATAAACAACATATTCGAAGACATCAAATTCACAAGAGAAGAAGAATTAGATAACAAAATCCCATTTTTAGATGTCTTAATCAGGAGAACCAACACAGGAAGTTTAGAAACACAAGTGTTTAGAAAATCAACGCGCACAGATCAAATACTCAACAATGCCAGCAATAATCCAATTACTCACAAAACAAACTGTGTGCAGACATTGTTTAGAAGAGTTCAAACACATTGTAGCACTCCAGAATTGAAAAGAATGGGAGAAAAATACTTACAAACGGTCTTCAAGAAGGATGATTATCCAAAAAATTTCATCAAAAAGTGTTTAAAGTCGAATCAAAGCACTAACAAAGAACCATCACCAAAGACCAAAACGAAATTCATCCTAACACATCAGAAATATCTCTGAAATAACGGCTAGAATAATGAAACCGTTTGATATAGATGTAGCGCACAAACCAGCCGAATCGCTTAATTCGAACTTATGCAAACCAAAAGATCCGATAGAAAAAGGAGATAAAATTAACACCATTTACAAAATAAATTGTATGAACTGTGACAAACATTACATCGGCCAAAGTGGGCGTCCCCTTCGAATAAGAATCCAAGAACACAAATCAGCTGTGAAAAGACATGATATAGATTCATTAGTATCAATGCATACAGACAATCATGGACATCAATTTGATTGGAACAATATCAAAATCATAAACAGAGGAGACACCAAAAGTGCCAGGGAATTCCTAGAAGCCTGATACTCAGACGAAAATGCCACTAATAAACACGTTAATATAGATGAAATATATCAACTAATAAAAAGCAAATCAGGTGACCAGAAAGTTTAAAATCCCAATCAATAGAAAACGGTCAATACATATGTAAAGATGGTTGGTCACCAGGAGACGCGATTGTATCATCATTCATGGAGATTTTAAATCATTTGACTTTATGCTAAATACTGCGCCGAAGATGTCGTCCAGAATGACGACGAAAGCTCCGCAACTAAACCAACCAGCTCAGAGGACACTATTAATTGCAAATCATCCACCTAAGTTACAAATCTTTTCCATTATTAGTATGGTATCATGGCGACATCTTCCATTCTTTTTTGAGATACTGCCTCTCTTGGACAATATATAAATTTTCTTGTTTGGAATGAGGATGCTTGTTTCCAGGAAAGCAAGAGTTCTGGACTCTACTGCCACATTTTTTCCATCAATTAATGCAATACGTTATTCGCTCATTTATTCTGAAAGAAGCAGTACATTAGTGAATGGAGAACGAATTATCTCAAAAGTCCCCCATTTGAAGGTATGGGGAGTGTAAGCTCAAACTGATATGCTAGCAAAGGCAATCAGCATTGTCGATCATGTCCGCTTTCACCTATGACTCGCATTGACTGCAACCGACGCCAACTGGCATCAAAAAAATATTGGAGTCAGACGGTTTATAGAAACCACCATAAACTCCAATAAGAGATATATCAGTAAGAAACGGTTTCACCAGTCTACCCAATATCGGCCAAATTTGCTGTGTACCATTGTTAAACAGTGGCAACCCATCAACATTCAGCTGCAGACTAAGGCAATCAAAAGATGCAAACTGACACCAACAACTCAGTATAGGCGTTAGGATACTTTGCAAACCAATATGATAGTAAGGTCCACCACCGATAACAGTTGAGGGGCATGACTGACTAATTTTGAGAAGGTGTCTTATATTAGTTGGTAAGCTTGGAAGGTGCCGTTTGAACAATCGCATTATCTTTACACCATCAACAATGCATGTTTTAGTGGTCAGCATAACCTTCAAGGCTGTCGCCCTACGTTCTGCCTTTGAATTGCGTTCTTTTGCCTCATTAGAACATTTCTAATTGGACAACAGTGCGCCCGCGGTATCACCTTATCAATTATTCGCCACATGAAATGCTAAGAAACCCACTTGGTAAAGTGATTTGCACGTCACTTTGCACGGTTACGACGCTACAAGACATCTACTAGACATTCACCGGCCTTGTCGCTGAAATCGGGAAGTATTATCTTGGCTACGTCGCCGAGCAACTGCGACCTCAATCTCTTGGTTCTTCCATACAATGTGGATCGGTGGCACGTCTCCTTTCCAAACAAAACTGAAGCACAAGGCTATACTGAAAAGAATAAAGTACTTCTAAGGCGCCTAGGGGGATTCGCATTACTAACACTTGGTACTACTCCACTTTCAGTATCCATTTTATTAGCCTTGAAAAGACATTACACTACCAACACTTAAATTACTAGGTCAGGAGGGCACGAGGAAGAATCTGAAATTGCGGCTTCAGAAGTAAGGCTTCACATAAACAAACGTGTCAAAATGATTGAAATGAAATCGTCACCATTTGTTTTCACAAAACTTCCCAATGATTAAATACATCTTGTGTAATATTCAGGCTGAAATGTTCCCCACCTCATGCATTTCCGATGTTAGAATGACTGCACAACAAAAACGAAATACCACCATTCCTCCCACTTTTCCCATGTTTCCCATATTTTCTCACATTTCCCACATCTCCAGAAAATATTTGCCCACTTGTTCCCACTTTACCCATGTTACAAACGTAAACAGCCCACCTTTTCCCGCTTTACCAGCATTTGAACGGAAAACTGCCCACGTATGTAACCACATATCCCAGGTCCAAAAAAGTAACCGACTGAGCAGTTTGGCAGCCATGCTCTGTCATAGTATAACTATTACCCAGCCACCCAAGTTGAAGTAGGTAGCGCCAGACTCAAACCTGTGACCCACAAGTCGGGAATTACGAGCTTAGTAAGATCGTCCATGAGAGGATTACGACGGGCTTGAAGTCGACCATTAATGACACATCTTGAAACTGAACTATAAATTTGGTCCGAAATCTCATCACAATTGTGTGGTATTCTAAAGACCTCAGAAAAATTACGCGGAAACTTCGACAATCAAGAAATTTACAGGAAATTCGGAAAAGTATTTGGTGAGGTGTCGTTAACTTTACCTAGTACGCGGTGCTATCTCAGAAATACTGACTCTTTTGGGATAAGACTATTTTCACATAAATAAATAGAATAAGAATACTGAGTCGGGAACAAATACATACTTAAATATATAAGCTTACTACAATTCTAAATTTATTCTAACCTATGCGTTGATAATGCCGTTTTATGGTAAATGAATATTTTATCTATCCACTGTGTACAAAAATGACGGTGTATGCTCAAGAAGAGCGCTGGGTGCTTAATTTACGCGAAAAATCTTAAAAATAAGATTAGCATATGAAATGATGCTAGTCAGTGCTGAATATGGATTGAGAGGGGTAAAATTAAGCTTGAAAAATTGTCACTACGTGCTGAATTAAGTCTTTTTGTTCTGAAATAGGGTATTCAGTACTGAGTATGTGCTGTGACGTCTTGTTATCAGTACTTACTGCGTCGGTGGCACAGTGGTTAGGACTCTCGCCGACCATGCACATGGTCCGGGGTTCGATCCCTCGCTGAAGCACACCTGACATCTATGGTCGGCCTGCAGAATTTGGGCTGCCGATATCCATGCTGAAAATTCCATACTTGTACCAAAAATACAGCGTGGAATCAAGCTGTAATCAACAATATAAAAAATAGAAAATAAAAAAGCATAAAAGTTAGGCAGGGTACCGATTCACTGGG